CGCTGCCGTTCCCCGCTGCTTCCACGCGGGTTGGTCGGTGGGTTGTTTTTATTTATTTATTTTTTATTTCCCCTCTCCCTTCCTCTCCCCGTAATTAAACCAAAAATAACTCAAAAATGTTTAAAATCGCTGCTCGGAGACGGAGGGGAAGCCTACCAAGCGAGCAGATGGGAGGAATAAGCCACTGTGACTCCATACGTAAAATGGCCATGGAGGCGGTGAAAAATTAAACTAAAAAACAACTGTTTTCTATTTACAAATTTAAATAAACAGAACAGCCTTCCCCGCGGTGTTTGTCTAAGTGCAGCAGCATTGCTGCTGTGTAGGTCATGAAAAGGTTGGTGCATAGTTTAAAACTTCCCATTCTGTTAATTTCTTAAAGAACAGTCGTTCATAGTCTGAGCACAAAAGCTCATGATTTAATGAGGAACAGAAACAAAATCTCTGATTGTTGGTGTTTCAAACTTCATTGGAGTCCTCTGGCAACCACAAGTTGATCCTCTGCAGCTTCAATACCCTTTAGCCCTCCATATAAGAGTACATGCTGAATAGAGGACAATGCCTGGTTGTTATGTTTATTTACCCTTACTACAAGCTGGGTTAACCTCTTCAAAACAGCTTTACTAAGCCCGTTAACCACACGGCCCACATGACCTGTAGCCGTATCCCTAATGTGATGTAAATCTGACTCGAGACCATATGCACAAGTTCTGCTGCATTGTGTCTCCGAAAACTACAAGTTTATTGCCGTCCAACCCTTCCCGGGCTGGGCGCTTCCAGGAGGAAACGCTCCGAACATAAACGCTCCGATAGCTTAAAAAAAAAATAAAAGAGAAGAAAGTCAAGAGTCCCACATTGTCGAAGCTATATTTTTAATGGCTAGTGCACATTTACAGAAGCGTGGGAGGGGGGGGAAGCAAAGCCTGCACAGGGCGATGGTTTTCATCGCAATTATTTCAACCGGTGTGTAATTATTCGAGGCTTTGCCCTTTCTGATGGGAGAGTGGGAAGAAGCGTAGACACAAACAGGAGCAATTGACCCGGTGTCGATCTGCTCTTTTAACAGAGCTTGCAGTTTACGTTTTGCCTTTCTCCTTCAGTGAAGTCATAATCCTGCATTTGTAGTAATTATCGTGATGTCACGCAGTCAGTGATGTAACTTCATTGCAGGCTATGAGTAGTACATGGGCTGTGCAGGAGCGAGCAGTCATTTGCGCCTGGAATAGTTTTAGTAATTAGCAATTCTGGCAAGCAAATTATGACAGATCTGCAAAATGGAAATGAATTTCTGCTTAAGCTTGACATCTTTAATTTTTTTTTTCCTGCAAGTATTATAGTCATCTTTTAAAACAGCTACTGGGGCCCCATGGCGAGAGCTTCATTTACCAGCTCATTTTTTCTTGATGGCTGTGGCAAGCGTAACAATGTTCTGTGCCTGCTTCAGTAATGGCATGTCGATCATGCTCCCGCGGAAAGTGAACGCTCCCTGGAAAAGAAAGAATACAAACTTCCTGAGAGGACCTCTGGAAATCATAGCTGGCTTGTCTTTTTCTCTAAAAACACATCCGTTTGGCAAGAAACATCAACTCCTGAATGAGTTTTAGGAGACAAACTAACCGAGGCAGGGCAAATGCGTTTAAAGAAATGCGGTGGGTGCCGAGTGCTCCAAAGGGGAGGCAAAAAGAGAGAGAAAAAGAGAAGCCCAGTGTGCAGCCTGCCTGTTTCAGCCTCTTTAGCTGGCAGACATCAAGGGCCAACAGCAGCGAGGCCATGCGTGCCAGCCGGGGGGGGCTGGCCGACACCATGCCTGGGGGCTGGCAGACACTGTGCCTCTGCTCCCCAATTCCAGCATCACCCTCTGGTGCTGTGCCTCAGGGTCGGCAGGAAACTGTCAGGGCAAAGCTAGAAGCTTTGTCTCCATCAGGGAATGGCAATAGGAGTTCAGTGGGGGCTGGAGGGAAGTTTTCCTGACTTGGGGGGGTTGTTGAGGTTGTGTTGCTGTGTCTCTCCATCAGGTCTCTGGTGCTAAAGATGGTCTAGGCCTATGCTTAGAGCCAGAGGTTGGGATGAAAACTGTAAAAAACTGAAGTGCTGGGCACACTAATCATGCCCAAATCTGCTCTGAAGCCAAGGTAAAGCCCATCTGAGCATTGCCTTGGGAAATTTACCCAAAGGGACGCAGGACAGCCAGTGTGCTTTGGCAGTGGCCATCTGAGAGCCAGGGTGGGTTTCAGAAGTCACTTTGTATTTCTAGGGCTTTTGTGGTGGTACCATGGTGACAAGTTTAAAATAATTAACTACGAATCGCAGTCAAATCTTAAACAGAAGACCCGTGTTTTAAATAGGGCCAAGCCTGATTTGTTTCTTTGGATGCTTTAATCCACACACGTTGAAGAAATGGAATTTTGAAGATAAAACACTACGCATCGAGACATGCCAAAGTTCAGTAGGGAAAAAAACCCCTTATTTGTAATTCTGACAGTACTTTGACACATTCTTGAAAAAAAACCCCAACAAATAGAAAGATGCAATCCCTTCCCCAAAGAATTCAGAATTGAAGGCCTGGCCCCAGCATTGCACATGGTGTCTCTGTGAAGTGCTGCACACCCTTCTAATGTCCTGCTGCAATCGATATGGGATCACAGCCTGGTCTGGGGTTTGAGAGCGAGTGAGGCCAACCCGAAACAGGGAAAGACCGATAGTGGCATGTGGGGCTGTGCATGCACAGGAGAGAAATGCAGAGGGGAACAAGCTGTTCATTTTCTCATTTTCATTTAAGGGTTGATAACCATTAAATAGAGGACTCTAATAAGGAAAGTGAAAATATAACCCATTTACAAAAAATGTTTGGGAAATGTGTTATTCTAGTGACATACCTAGCTTGACTGAAGCAGTAGGAATTAAATACTAATTCACATTCTAGAACAACTAAGACACAAATCCACCTTAAACATTCAATCCATATCATTGCATGTAAGAGCAGGCTGCATTAAAGCCATTTAAAACCTTATAGGTAAAACTATTATTTCATTCTAAGTAGGATTTCCTACCGTAGCTTGCAGTATTTTAGGTGGGTTTGGAGAATAATGGGACTGACAGATATTCAAGGGTAGATGCTTAAAATTTAATTTCTTGTTTACAGAGCAACCGATTAACTCTATGCTACCCCAACAACAACAACAACATTGCTATTGCTATTGCTATTACTATTAATTATTAATAATACACCACTTTTTATCTTAGCAACACCTCAGCCATTTTTTCTCATACTTTTAGACCTTCACAGAAAATGCAGCCTCAAACTATTCCACTTACAAACTGTTGTGAAAATAAATCAGGAATTATGTAAACATTTTGTGGCATAGGATTTTTTACAGAGTAATTCAGGTCTACGCAGTGATCTAAAACTACTGGCCAGTGCAAGATCCAATTTTTCACTGTAAGAAACACATGCTTTTATTGTGCCTATTTTTCTACAAGCTTTTAGTCAAATAGTTTTTGTTCTAAAGAGAAATTTGCACATAGGATGGCAGTGATATGTAGAAATGTGTTAAGGTCTGGGATCATCCTTCCTCCTTCTGTGAAATGGCTGACTTAGGAGTTCAGTTATCCTAAGTACCTACAGAAAGAGATGGGTGCATAGGAATGGTAATTCTGATCTCTGGTGGCCCAAATCACCATCAGGAGGACAGAGGATGCTCAGAAGTTGGTTACCTGGGCAGGTGCCTAAGTTGGAGCACGATCAATCTGGGTCAGAATGTCTTTTTTTGAAAGCAGGAGTTAATTAAACAGCACGCCTGTCCTCTGTTCATTAAAATAACAAGTTTAGAAAGGAAACCAGGATAAGAGTGTGTGTGTGTGGACACATGAACACTGAACCACTTGAGATCTCCAGTCAGTTCTCCTCTTGTCAGCGTGCAGCTGTAGTTTGGGTTGCTAGGAACGTGAATTCTTGAAGGAAAAAAGTGCTTTTTTTTCTAACAGCAAAGAGTGACATGAAGAAGTTGGCTTCTCTGCCTGTTCACTTCTTTTCTCCCTGCTAATTTGCAGCGTTGAGCTAAAGTTCAGAAAAAGAAACCGATTTTAATGCCATTGAATGTACTCTATACACTGCCTCTCTTTCCACCCACAGGTTTCAACAGATAGGAAATACCAGTAATTATAGCTTTGTCCCCATGCTCTCTTTTCCAGTTCTTCTAGATGAAATTTGCCTGTAGCATTCTTTTGATTTTCTCTCACACGAATATAAAGAAAACAGGGCTTCCTATAAACACCATTTGCTTTGATAGCGTTAATCTGGGGATTAATTTAGTCATAGATCTAAATTTTCTTTTTGCCTAATTTTCTCAATAATCTCACACTTTCAGCCTGTACTTAGACTTCCAGTAGTTCAACTGGGGGACCACAGGCCTGCTTTATAGGAAGCTTGCAACGTGAATGGCAGCGAGAGCGGGCGTGTGGTGCGAGGCTGGGGTTTGCATCCATCGCGTTCAGTGGCAGTGGTTTTTGCTCCCCGTGTAACCATATAAATCATTTGGTGGGAGCCTTTTCAGAAACCCTGCCATCAGGCAAGTCAAATGTGGGAAGTTTGACTGGGAAGAGACAGGTCTTCCATGTAAAGGATTATGGGGGATCTGGGAGAAGGAGCAGCTGGGAGGCAGAGCTGCAAGTGGTGGGTGCAGCCTTTGGGTGATGATGCATGAGTGCAAGTAACTTGGGTGGGATGAGAAGTGGAGGAGCAGAGGACAACTGCAGCTCTCACTGGACAGCAGACTGGAAGTGTAGCTCTTCAGAGGAACGGGTGGCTCTGTGGGTCAAAGATTCTGCCCCATTTTAGGTAATGCAGCACATGTTCTGCTGTCCTTATCCAGTGGCATCCCTCATGCAGCAACACAGTGAATATGCTAAGGGAGAAGCCCTGTGAGAAACAGAGTGACCAGCCTTTAGGGTATGGGAGCTGTAGGAATGCTTTGGTTGGCCTACAAACAGCTGTACAGCTGCAAAGGCAGCACAGCACAGCAGAGGGGTTTGGATTTGCACAACCTTTGGCTTCCTGCAGCCTGATCACTCCACACCTCTGTCAGGGCAGGCTATCAGGGACAAGGCAAAAGAAGAAAGGTGACAGGCAACATTTCCCTTTTGGGTCATCATGTAGACTAGCTAGGAGTCCTTTTCAGTTGACAAGTGAGGAAAGACTCAGAGCTGTTTCTTTCAGGATCTATCCATCTAGCTCCTCTTTGACTGGTCACTGGAGCTACCCACAGAGCACACCAAGTCATCATTCCCCCATCTCCACCTCTTGTATCAGGCCCCCATCTCCAGGCTGAATGATGCAGGACCAGTATTATGCAATTTGCTGCATCCTCCAGGATCCACATAGTATTTGAATGCAAGAAATTAATGACGACATTTAGTGCTCTGTTAAAACAGTAGTAAAACTTTTAAAAAAATGTAACAGCTATTTATGCAAGACGCGGGCCATGCTGTGTAAGGTCTTAACAGTGCTACTTTGAATTTCAGTATGTCCTAAAGTGCTTCCCAAATGGAACGGAGAGGGCTTTTGGCAAATACAGAAAACAGCTGGAAGGGAATTAAAATTATAGAAAGCTGCTAGGGTTTTTTTTCAGAAAGAAACAGAAAAAAAAATTATAGTCTTGGAAACAAGAGAATGAAGCATGGTCAGCCCTGAGTGATATAAAGATCCAGCCTACAGACAAAGGAAGTGATAAGGCAGAGTTGACTGAGAACAGTAATTTTCACAGGTCAGAAGCCTAAGATACAGGCTTACGAAAAAAAGGAGCAAATCAAGTTATGCATTAGGAATGACTGATGCAATAATTTTCCAGGTGGCTGTGGAGAAATCAAAGAGACACAGAATCAAACTTTGTAATATGTAAGTTTGATGGCGCTTATGCTTGTGCCTTACAAATCTCCTTTTGGATAAATGCAGCCACTACCAAAACCAGCCCAGATCTAGCCAAGTTCAACATGTAAACAAGGGCTCTTTTTTGGCAACCCAGAAGACAACTCCAGCCATGTGTTGCCATGGATCTTGGACATGGCTCTTGTTATATCTGTATGTCATCCTGAGAGATTTCCTTTACCTGTAAGAAATGACATGCATCACGTTGCAGAAAGAGTCTCAGCATTGATCTGTTATTTGTCATGGCCAAAAGATGAGCGCATTAAGCAGTGTTTCTTGGAACATGAAAACCTCCTTTTTTCATGTGTGTGTAAGTGTAGCAGCATAGGGGGAACATGTGCTCTGTGAAACTTTGGGGAGTAGTTAAGAGCATGGCAAAGCTATACTATCATCTCATAAGCAGAGCATATGCAAATTTTTTTTAATGGGAAGAAGCATTTTACCTTTCTTAGAAGGTAAATGGATGGGACTCAGATTCCACAATTTTTGTATCAACTGGGGATCAAAATGTTCTGGGGGAACCAGGAAAGGGGAAGAAATGATACACCCAACCCTTGCTAGTA